GCCCATTCTCTTTGCGATTAACAACAAAATAGATTTTGGATTTTGCATCTTGAAGAGCCGTCAGAATTTGGTGCTCCTTGTCTTCAATTTTGTCCAAGAATACAAAGATTGCATTGGACACTTCATAAAGAAATGTAAATTGCGTGAGTGACTCACAAATGTCTCCTCGCAAATTGGCAAATGTAACTGGCTCTGGGAATATGTCAAGATTTGCTCTCCCACAAGGAAGGAACCAGCATACCTCCACCAACGTATTTGAAATTTTCCGAGGACGTGCCGCTCCTTGCATGTCTCTGTGTAAAAACATATTGTGATTCTGCTGGCCGCAGCTGAGGATGTCATTTAAAAAACGAGATTTAGATAAACTGCAGTTTTTTAGCCTCACAAAGGAAAAAAATGGAATAGTTGCTTGCACAATGTTGTTCTCGGCGAATCCTCTTGTTTGACACAAATCATGTGGACACCACTCTTTCACGATTTCTCTCAGAGCCCACAGCATCAGAGTACACAGGTTGTTGTTGCAATGGGGTACCAGCAGTGGGAGCGAAAACTGACACAAAGACATCTTGAGGGCCATTTCCTGCTGCAAGAAATGTCAGCACAAAGAAATAGTCCTCCGACTATCAGATCAAGAGGATGAACTGTGTTTGCTGATCCACATGCCGTGTAAATGTCCAGGATGTCAAGACTGTCTTCATGTTCTTCATGGCTGCTTAATATCTGAGTGCAGTACCTGCATCCAGCATTGATTTGGAACAGTTTTCTGAGGAAATAAAACGGTATTTCATCCTCTGATAGAACAACTTTTTCGTAGATGCTGCTTTTGTTGACTTCCAATAGAGATTGAAGAGTGAATTTGTTCGGATGATACTTCTGCAGCCCCAGGTTGGAGAGGAATTCGAACAGAACTGTCAAGGAGATTGGACTTCGTTTTATCAAGGATAAACTGAATAGACGTTGCGATGACATTGTCTGCAAACAATTGTAAATTGCCCTTGTACATATGTTGAAATTTCTTCATGATGGAGTCAACATGGTCGCTTCTGGTCTTAAACGGGCCCATTCCAAAGTGCATGAGCACCATTGCAAAGACAGATCCGTGTTCCCGTTGGATTGTGTCTGAACTTGAAATGGCGAATGACATGCATGTCTCTCATAAGCATATCAAGAAGCTAAACCAACATGTCAATATGCATGCCCCGACAGCAGGGTGGGGTGTTTCACTGGATACTTATATCTCATTGTAGCATCTTAGCTGAATTATATGCTAATTGCATGCTTGCTGTGTACTGTGCCCATCATTGCTCCAAGCTTTAGGTATAGGTCCTGCACTATACAACGACTGCTATTTTGCTGTGCAAAATTGAATCCGCTCCGATTTTATGCGCTTCCGGACCAGAGGTGATTGCTCTAAGACTGCAAGGGAAGCTGAGCTTCCCCTAAAATGTCCAAAAATAAGTGATCAAATATATGTGTACATACAATTGTGTGTACATGTCATTGACTAAATATGCACTTCAACGCCCTCAACTTTTTGTTCCGAATCAGCTTCCTATTACTGTCGACGACGCAACTCTCTTCTCATATATTCCCGCAGCTTCAATGTGCTTTAAACTGTCTGGACGCTGAGTGTCGACAGCGCGGACGGTGGGTGTCTCGAGAGTTCAGAGCCCGTTGTCCCAATACATTGAAACGAGATGAGTCATTGGATAAATGCGGGTTTTGTCACGCCCACCGGACGCTCAGCATCTCTGGGAGTCTATGGACAGTGGGAGTTTATGGGCTGGCCCGGGACGCTCAGCTTTTCTGCATGATGATTGGATGCTCTGTCTGAGGTGGAATCTCTTTTTGATTGTCAGCAAAATGAGCCAATCACCGATCTTTTGGTGTAGGCGTCCGTGGGAGCATTTTTCAATTCTTATTCTGTTCTGAGTTGAACTGGAGACTTCTTCCAATCATCTTTGCGACACTCTTTGTTGAAAACGACAAGCGACAAATTAATCTTTTATTTCTGGTGGGTTGTCATTGTAATTGCTTGTGTTCGCAGACCGACTTACATCACCACAGTTAACACCCTGGAAAAGACACCTTGTTAAAAATAAACTGACAGATTTTATGATGTATGGGGAATAGGAGGCCGCTCTGACCCCAACAGTATGTTGGCCGTAGTGGTAGCCCACATTTTGTCAAACTCCTCTCTGTTGGTCATCAGACAGCCTGACGTCTTTGAAGTCACGCAGAAGTTTCCACTGTTCCAGACAGATTTCTGGAAAAGTGGACTCACCCAAGCACTTAATTGCAGTGTTAAAACACGCTAGCCGTGTCAATCTCAGGTTATTTAAGCAGTTAGCATGGCTTGAGGCTTATTTGCCACCATGAAGGAAATGATTACTGTTCTCAGGATTGCTCAATATGGTCAGTACACTAAGCGGATACACACAGATACTTCTTTGCTCCATTTTGGCCACTATTGGAAGCTTGCTGTGTTGTACACCTCTTGGTCCAACAGACCGCAATGATATATTATTTCACCATGTGCTGTGTGTCTGTCTGCTTGTGATTTGCTGCATGGCATAGAAGGACAATTGTTAATGCTTACTCGAATGAGTAGCCAGCTTTTCAAAGTTTTAAATAAAGTTTAAAAAAAAAAGAAGTACCGTAATTTCCGGACTATAAGATGCTACTTTTGTCACACGCTTTCAACCCTGCGGCTTATTTTACAATGAGGCCTGTTAAAGAGTTTTCCAACGGCCGCCAGGGAGCACACAAGCAGAAAAGGTAACAGTGAGACGCTGTCATGTGTTTCTGCGCACTATTGTCTGACTGCATGGAAACCTCGTAGTTGAGTCACATTTCTGTCATGTTCAGCTCCTAAAGAGCTGTCGGACAAATTCTGACCAATCTCCGCAATGAGTTTAGCGTCTTTATTTCTGCATTGCTCTTTGAATTTGTTACGCAGAGCAGTAAATTTTTCACGAGAATGGGTATTAAAGATGTAGTCAACCCACTTTCCTTGTGTTGCCGTGTTTCGAAATCTCCTATTACTCTGCACATCAGTTGTACACAGAGATTCACTGAGGACTTCTGTGGTACAATCCCTGTATGTTCCAAGACCCTGTGGTCGATGTACAGCCGCATGATGTATGTCGCTGCTTCACAGTCCGAGCTCTACTAAACTCTGATCTTCCGATTTTTCTTTTGCCCTTCTGTTTTGGACTGTTTGGACTGTGGGTACTGTGATTGATGCAACTTGAATCATCACTTCATCCGATCAATCAAACCCCCATCGTAACTTAGTCCACGGGCTAACGCCGGTAGCTTATGCCAGGGGTCCCCAACCGCCGGTCCGCGGACCGGTACCGGTCCGCAGGGCATTTGGTACCGGGCCGCACAGAAAGAACACTTGCGCTTTTGACGTCACACAGTGAGTTCTTGATGGCTTCACAAAGTCGCTGAGAAAACTCTGCCACGTTCACCCGTGAGTCTTTGATTTTAACCTTGCTATTTGCTATATCCAGTTCTTGCAGTGTTTTCTTGACAGACGTCATACTGCTCTTTGGTAAATCCAGTTCTTGCAGTGTTTTCTTGACAGACGTCATATCGTCCCGCCCATTCTCTTTGCGATTAACAACAAAATAGATTTTGGATTTTGCATCTTGAAGAGCTGTCAGAATTTGGTGCTCCTTGTCTTCAATTTTGTCCAAGAACACAAAGATTGCATTAGATACTTCATAAAGAAAAGTAAATTGTGTGAGTGACTCACAAACGTTTCCTCGCAAATTGGCAAATGTAACTGGCTCTGGGAATACATCAAGATTTGCTCTCCCACAAGGAAGGAACCAAAATACCTCCACCAACGTATTTGAAATTTTCCGAGGCTGTGCCCCTCCTTCCATGTCTCTGTGTAAAAACATATTGTGATTCTGCTGGCCACAACTGAGGATGTGATTTAAAAAACGAGATTTAGACAAACTGCAGTTTTTTAGCCTCACAAAGGAAAAAAATGGAATAGTTGCTTGCACAATGTTGTTCTCGACGAATCCTCTTGTTTGACACAAATCATGTGGACACCACTCTTTCATGATTTCTCTCAGAGCCCACAGCAACAGAGTACACTGGTTGTTGTTGCAATGGGGCAACAGCAGTGGGACCGAAAACTGACATAAAGACATCTTGAGGGCCATTTCCTGCTGCAAGAAGCTGTCAGCACAAAGAAATAGTCCGACTATCAGGTCAAGAGGATGAACTGTGTTTGCTGATCCACATGCCGTGTAAATGTCCAGGATACTGTCTTCACTGTCTTCATGTTCTTCATGGCTGCTTAATATCTGTCCAGGAGGTCAAGACTGTCTTCATGTTCTTCATGGCTGCTTAATATCGGAGTGCAGTACCTGCATCCAGCATTGATTTGGAACAATTTTTTGAGGAAATAAAATGGTATTTCATCCTCTGACAGAACAACTTTTTCGTAGATGCTGCTTTTGTTGACTTCCAAGAGAGATTGAAGAGTGAGTTTGTTCGGATAATACTTCTGCAGCCCAAGGTTGGAGAGGAAGTCGAACAGAACTGTCAAGGAGAAAGAGAAGATGATTTATTTAATTAACCATTTCAAACACAGATTTGTGTTCTCGTTGGATTGTGCCTGAACCTGAAATGGTGAATGACATGCATCTCTCTCATAAGCACATCAAGAAGTTAAACCAACATGTTTGCAAAGCTACAAGCACACAAAACCCTGCATGCCCCGAAAGTCGGGTAGGGTGTTTCACTGGATACGTATATCTAATTGTATCATCTTAGCTCAACTCAACTGTATTTATAGAGCACTTTAAAGCCATCGCTGCATACAAAGTGCTGTACATGGCTGAATTACCGTATTTTCACAACCATTCGGCGCACCGTATTGTTGGGCGCAGTCTCACTAACGGGTGCTATTTTGGTATTTTACACATAGACAAAACGCACTGTATTATTGGGCGCAGTTTTACAGTGGTAAAACATACGCCAGCT